TTCTTCTGCCTCTGACGTGGCTACATTCTGATTTTGCTACAGTAATCTTGCGATGTGCTCTTAATCTGAGATGGGCATGAAGTAAGTAAGGAACATTTATAAGCTTAAAGTAGATGAGACGGAGGTTAGCTACCAAGCGCACAATGCTTAAAAAGCAAAAATCATAAGATCAAATACTATTGGTTGCTTAATTTTGAATTCAGTTTGTTATTTCTTGCAAGTTTCCAAATTAGACGGAGGCTATGTTAACGCGTTTGAATAATATGATATTGGTCAAATCTGTTTGAAGTATTATTAATTAGTTTAAAGTAATTTTGTTTTATATTCAATTGTAATTTCCATCATTTTGTTGGATTTAATTTCTACAGGTTCTGAATACACCATCTATTAGAAAGAAATGTTGTGAATGTAGAATATAGGAAAAGGGTATGCAACTGGGGAAATCCATAACAGAAATCCTAATGGAATGTTGTGCAACTCTTCAGTACTTGTAATTTGTAGGGTTCAAGTTCAAATTACATAAATCTTAGTTCTTATGTTGAAGATTACCATTCTCTTTCAGCGGTTTAAGATACGCCTAATTGCTGGGAACAAATGCACTAATAAGTGGACAATATATTGTCTTCAGATCTTCTTGATGTGGACATGAGCCATTGAAAACTGTTGGACTGTTTATCTTCTTTAACTTGTAGGCTTGTTCAAATACTTAGGGATTAACTAAAGTGACGTTCAATGTGCCTTTTGTACCAATCGACTAGACCTTCTAATTCATCTATTGCCACTTACTTGAAGACAAGGGAGTATATATTTACCCGTTGATAGAACCTTCTATTCAAATACTCTTTTTCTAGTCATACTTACTAATCAAAGGCTTCCTGGTGAGGCATTTACACCATACACTTTTTGAGATTTTACATTATTAGATCCATATGTATTATATTGTTTAGATTGTAAGATTCAAATTGTGTAATGATGTTGGATTTTAGGATCCAGCCCATTGTGAACAGGTTTTTCTGAGTGTTGTAAAAACTGTAAAAGGGATCATGATATCTTTCACCTTGGAATTTCCAATGTTATATTTCAAGTTTAGTTTGTACTTCTTGATGCTGACCATGACTTATCTTTTTGCAGAGGTCCACGATGGGTAAGTGTGAACTTAGCTTACTTTCAAGTTTGCTTACACGATTGAAAGTCAACTTAGCTTTCCTCTGTCTAGGAATGCGAATGAGTCACTGAAATGCAACATATACTTGCCTCAGCTCTGATTTGTCAAACTAGTATCTATTAGAATTTTGATGCATCTCAATAACTGCTTCGTGTCAACTGCAGGTAAGATCTGCAACCCTGGACACATGGCTTCCAGAGCAGGTTGCATTTATTCAATGTAATTCTTTGCACCTTTTAGCTACTTCAAATTACATGTAGTATGCGATATGTTTTTATACTCGTGCTTATTGTATAGACATTTGTATTGGCACATGTTTGGGGCGGCTGATTTGTTTTAATTGGCACTGGTCATTCACAGCAATGGGAAATGAAAAGGCAAATAGCTATTGGGAAGCAGAACTCCTCCAAACTATGACAGAGTTGGAATAGAGAACTTCATTCGTGCAAAGTACGCTTGCTTCTAATTCTAATTTTCTTGTACTGTGATTCTTCACAGTTCTACTTAAGATTTGTATAGAGAGTGAGTGTGGAGTTCATTAATAATGTCAATGACTTTCTTGAGAGAGCATTTGCTAATGGAGCAGAAGGGGATGAAATATGTTGTCATTGTCGCATTTGTTGTAATCGTTTTTGGTATAGTCGTGATGTTGTTTATGATCACCTTATTGTCAAAGGATTTGTAGAGAATTATTATGATTGGTTCTTTCACGGAGAGGGTGTGTCATCAAGGATGGATGTTGATGACGATAATGAAGAAGCTGATGATGTTGCTGATGATGCTCAAGACAATCTGGATGGGTTATTGCATGATGTATTTAGAGATGTAGCAGAAGAGTCTCCAGTGAACCAAGAAGATGGCCTAAGTGACGATGAAGAAAGGTTAACAAAGGAGGCAAAGAAATTTTATAAGTTAGTTGATGAAGGTAAGCAGCAGTTGTTTCCGGGATGTAAAACTTTTTCTAAACTCTCTTTTATCATCCGGTTGTATCTTCACAAGTGCATCCATGGCCTAAGCAACGAGGCATTTGATGATTATCTAGCTATATGGAGAGAGGCAATTCCTGAAATAAATCTACCAAAGTCTTATTATGAGGCCAAAAGAATTGTGAAGGATTTGGGCCTTGATTATAAGAAGATACATGCTTGCCCTAATGATTGCATGCTTTACCGTGAAGAAGATGGAGAAAAAGTTGCTTGCAGTAAATGTGGTGAAAGTAGATGGAAGGCAAATAAGCAAGGTGTTCCAGCCAAGGTTTTAAGTTATTTCCCTTTAAAACCTAGAGTTCAAAGACTATTCATGTGTTCTCAGACTGTTGAATCCATGAGCTGGCATGCAAAAGAGCGCCTCCAGGATGGGAATCTAAGGCACCCAGCAGATGGCAAAGCATGGAAGGATTTTGATTCCAATCATCCTGATTTTGCACTAGACCCTCGTAATGTGAGGCTGGGCTTGGCTAGTGACGGGTTTAATCCATTTCGGACTATGAGCATTTCGCATAGCACATGGCCGGTGATCTTGATAAATTATAATTTACCACCCTGGATGTCTCTAAAGCCAGAATATTTCATGTTGTCTTTGCTTATTCCAGGGCCTCAGTCCCCTGGGAATAATATCGATGTTTACTTGCAACCGTTGATTGATGACTTGAAAGAGTTATGGGAAGTCGGGTTGCTTACTTATGATGCTTCAAGTAAACAACCATTTTATGTTCATGCGGCTTTACTTTGGACTATAAGCGACTTTCCAGCATTTGCAATGTTGTCCGGATGGAGTACTGAAGGGAAGTTGGCTTGTCCTAGCTGCAACTATGGCACTTGTTCACAATATTTAAAATACAGTAGGAAAATGTGTTACATGGGTCATCGTCGATTTTTGAGTGATAATCATCCATGGCGGTTAAATAGAAGAAACTTTAATGGCCATGTTGAGTTAGGAAAAGAACCTGAATCATTATCTGGGATAGAGATTATGGAGGAATTGCGTGGCTTTGTTAATGACTTCGGGAAGAAACAGAAGAAAAAAAATAGAAAAGGGCTGTTCATGGAAAAAAAGGTCAATATTTTTTGATTTGCCTTATTGGGAGCAGAATACATGTCGGCACTTGCTAGATTTAATGCACATAGAGAAGAATGTGTGTGATAATATAATTGGGACATTATTAGATATTCCTGAAAAGACGAAGGATCATGTCAGAGCTCGTTTTGATTTGCACCATATGGGCATAAGAAGAGATTTACACCCAACTAAGTCAGCTGATGGTCGGCATTTTACATTCGCTAAAGCATGCTTTTCGATGACGATGGAGGAGAAAAAGATATTTTGTGGTGTGTTAAAAAATGCTAAAATGCCGCATGGTTGTGCAGCAAATATCTCGAGGTGTGTCAATGTTAATGGGAAAAAAATATCAGGGTATAAGACACACGATGCTCATTTTCTCATGCAGTATTTGCTTTCAGTTGCTCTGAGAAGGACTATGACTTTTTGCTCGTTATATCTACATGATGGTGTGAAGACAAGATTTAATAGATATACAAGAAAGTATGATGAAGTCATTGATGATGATGAGCCATCACCTATTTTTCCAAAGATAGGTCATCCAGTGGGCGGAAAGAGGAAAAGGAAAGGCAAAGCATTTGCATTGGATGATGTAGATTGGGTTAATGCACATAGATATGCTTTATTCAATTGCGGTAATAGGGAAGTTGGGGAGTATATTAGGTATACTTTATTTATTAAATCTTTATATATTATTTTTTGTATTCTTTAAATTCCACTATATAACATATTATGTTTGTTTCTTATTAATACAGAGAGCACAAACTCTTGATTGAGAATCAACCGAGAAAACGAGGTAGAAGAAGAAAATGGGTAGAAGCTCAAAGGCATAGTAAGGATTTTCTTGTATGGTTTAAAGACACCGTGGCTGAATCTCAATCAATACCCAAATACATGAAGTTTTTTTCGATGGGTCCTAACAATATCGCCAAGAGATATAAAGGATATTATATTAATGGCTATACTTTCTACATCAAAGCACGCGATGATACATGCAAAACTCAAAATAGTGGTGTTTCTTTGTTAAGTGAAGTGGATAGTTATGCAAGCTCTAGAGACCATAATCCTATAACTGCTAAAGTGGCATTCTATGGAGTCATACAAGATATCATTGAACTAGACTACTGGGGCAATTTTAGTGTTGTTTTGTTTAAGTGTGATTGGTTTCAGCATGACACGGATGAATATGGGCTTACTCGTGTAAATTTTAACAACAAATGTCATACAAATGATCCTTTTGTGATGGCATGCCAAGTGCATCAAGTTTTTTATGTGAAAGACCCTGTTGAAGAGGTTAATAAGAATTGGCATTATGTTTTGAAGATTCCAAGCAATGTGTTTGAAGATCTTGGTGTCACTCATAGCGATCAATATTGGGCCGAGAGTGATGACAACGGAATGGATTCGATTGCAAGAATTGATGATGATGATGATGCAGTTAATATTGGTTGGTGTAGAGATGGTTTGCCAAGATCCATTGTTGACATTCCGCCAAACATGGAGGAGCTAGAAGATGAAAATGAAGAAGAATCAGAAGGTGGAGATCAAGATGAAACAGAAAGTGGAAATCAAGATGAATCAGATTGGGATTAGATGGAGGATAGTCCTTTTGTCTTCAATACTTTGTACTTGTGTCAAGATTGGAATTGGATGTGTTGCTTATTTTTGAACTATGCATTTGGTCATTTTCCCATTCAAACTAACTCATGCTTCATTGTCTTCCTGTATGGATTTTTCTTAGCTAGTTTTATGCTCATTCATTGGATGATTCAGGTCTGACCCCAAAAATTTTTGATGAAACATGCACTGAACTTTATTGGATGATTCTGATCAAAACCCATGTTTTAATTTTGGAAGATAACAACTTATGAACACTAAAATACCTATCTGACATTATTATTATTATTATACTAATTCGGTAAAATTTAATAGTGCCTCTCCTTTTTTGTAGGCTAAACATAAATGGAAACTAAGCAAGTGAAAATTGAGATTCATTATGCCTCTCCTTTTTTTGGCATTGAGCACCTTGTTATTGCATGATTCCTAGGCTGTTTGCAATAAACTTTATAACAAACTTGATTTCATCGATGAAAACTCTTGGAATGTAGGTGTTCTCATTGTGCTTGGGTTGGGAACTGTGTTTCGGCTTGCATTGGAGTGCTGCCAAGACTGGGGATCTCGAAGACACGTGCACGGCATAAATATACTTGTATGTATAATAATACACTTCATTATACAAAGAATGCCAGTTTCAGTTTTTGTGGGTTTTAGCTTGATCATTCTTTTCATTTATTACTAGTTAATCACTTCTCTTTGAGTGATGGAAACAGTTGGTGATTCTAGATCAAGTTCAAAAGAGAAGAGATCATTTGAGGTAAATTCTTTTAAAAATCCTATATTAGTTCATCATGGACATAAAACAGCTCTTCATATTATTTATTTCTTGGTAACATGCTAGCTTGCATAATAACTTCTGAAGCATTCATTTTGTGTCAAATTTATAAGGGGTAAACAGTATTCATTTTGTGTCAAATTTGATATGGAGGACCAGAATGCTATTGAAAGATATTTTCTAGTTTCTAAACAATTACCTGTTTTTGGTAAAATTTATTTTTTTATTTTTTAGTTTTGAGTCCACATAAGGCTTTTCTTTTATGTGAGAATATTAGTTTTTGATGATATATGTTTAAAGAGGTCCACACAACTCCGTAGTTTGAAGGATGTACGTATAGTTTCAAGTGGTATGATATATGTTTACATCTTACAATTTTTTACTGTTGTTTCCTGTTCCGCGCGCACCTATGTTGCTGTAAAAGACACATTAATCTTACAAAAGAAATCAAATTCCAATTTGACTGTTATATGTTGTTTTAAGCATATATGCAACTGTGAAGAGTAAGAATTATGGCATTCTTAGTGACTGAACTCTTGAGTTTCCGAGATTTTTGGTAACTGGCCTTTGGATTGCTTTCTCTAGCTCAGGCTTGAGTCAAAAGTGGACTCACTGATTCTGAAGTTAAATGTGAGTTTCTCAGTTAAATGTGAGTTTCTCAGTTAATCTGTTCCTTTAGAATCAGTGAGTTGCTTTTAATTCCTGTAAACAACCTCTCAACATGTAGCGGTTAAGACCAATGGTATTTGACCCTCTTGAATTCTATATTATGATGGTAGGAGCCCCGTGCACTTTGTTATCCTCTATACTAAGTTGCTTGTGATACAATCCGCAATACTTTAAGTTGTTGGAATATTGTCCCATATACTCACTGATTCTGAAGTTAAATGTGACTTCCAAAATTCGTTGCAGGATAATACTCATTGTTTCTTACTTTTTATCTATTTTTTCGTCCTTCGTTGCAACAGATTTCTTTTTTTACAATCCTTCAACTTAATAC